AGCATTTGGGGAATGATATACCCTTTTCTCCATGCTCATTGCTTACAAACCTATGTTTCCTGTTTGTTTATCTTTGTGCATCTCTGTGCATGCCTGTGTTTGTGCCTCTATTGCATTCATAAGCATCATATTGCATTAGTTTCATGGATTTCAGAGTTTTTATTTATAAACATTGTAGGACCAATATGGATTACAAAAGGAAAAATACTTTGAAATATTCTTTCAAGAGTCTTAACTGGATGGCCTAAGGAAGTCGGAAGTTCAAATTAAAGATTAAAAGAAGTTCAAAGACAAGAGACTTTCATCGTTACTGAAGATCCAAGTGAACAACAGATTTCTTCCTTACTTTCTGATAAGAAAATAAAGGAGCGGGAGTATTTATTTTCCTCTAACTACCTGACTACTCTTTGGAAGCTGATCATGGACAAGCGTATCCACGAGAAGGTCCAGTTGGAAGAGAAAATTAAGAGGCACAACCCAAGACTTCCTTTGGACTTTATTAGCTTTTATCTAGCTATTATGTCAGGACTCTTTAAGAATATTTATTTGTAATCCGTTATCAAAAAAATAAAAAATGAGTTTTCTTTGGTATCCTGTGACGTTTATAAATACTGGAGTTCCATGAAACCTTTCATCTGTATTATGCATTCTGCATTTGTATCGCTCATTTAGCATTTGCATGTGCATGCGTCCTTTCCCTACAGTAACTCATCCGACCTTCTGTCTTTGTCTCGTCAACTGACATCTTGACCATCTGACCAAACTCGAAGTAATTACTGAAGGATAACAGGGAGAACGAAGGATATGGACTCCATGACTGGTTTTAGAGTGATAACTAATCCGATATTTGATATTCCCTCTGATGACAATGTTCAACAAGTGGATGTTCCTACACAATCTCAGCCTATGCAAGATAACCTGTTTGTTCAAGTTGATGAAAGAGATTCTCAGTTTCCACAGCGTATGCCAAATCCTCAGAATGTTCATACTGAGATGAAGGTGGACGATCCTAGAATTATAGCAATTGAGAAAGGATTTCGTGATCTCGAGGAACAATTGAAGATGATGAAAGGAGCTAATACATCTGGTCTTAATGCTCATGACCTGTGTCTAGTTCCAGGTGAGGTTATTCCTCCAAAGTTCAAAATTCCTGTCTTTGAAGTATACAAGGGTGTTAGTTGTCCAAGATACCATTTGACGATGTTTTGTCGAAAGATGACTGCTTATATTGACAATGACAAGCTGATGATTCACTGCTTTCAAGAAAGTTTATGTGGGGCATCCTTAATATGGTATATGAAGCTAGAAAGGAACCACGTTCAATCTTAGGAAGATTTAGCTGAGGCCTTTGTGAAGCAATACAATTATAATTTGGATATGGCTCCAGACAGTGATCAACCGGTGAGCATGAGTAAGAATGACAACGAATCCTTCAGGGAGTACACACAACGGTGGAAAGAATTAGCAGCCCAGGTTCATCCACCACTTCAGGAGAAGGAATTAACCAAGATGTTTCTAAGAACACCGCCAGACTCTTATTATGATAGAATGGTAGGCGTTGTGCCATTAGAATTCTCTAAAATTATGGAAGTTGGAGTAAACATCGAAAGCACACTCAAAAGTGGAAGAATCCGAGATGACCCGAATAGCCAAGCTAATGAAGAAAGGTCAGATAGTGATTCTTAAGAGGAAGGAAATGTTGATATTAACACAATTTAGAATTCCTCTCAAACCCTGCCAGATCCAGCTCCGATACCTTATCCTCAACATCGGTATGCAGCACCTATTCAGCACAAGTAGCGACCACTTCATAGATTTCCATACATGCTGGGAAGGTTGACTTATCCAGATCAACATCAGAATCGACGGGTTCGAAATCAGTTTCAAAATCAACACACACCTCTAAGTAATCCAAAAGGAAAAACCCGTTAGTTTAATCATATCCCAATGACTTACAATCAACTATGGTCTTATTTTGCTAGAAACTCGTTGATGACGCCTAGAAAGACTATAACCATGAAGTCTCGCCCACCTTGGTTCAATCTAGACGCCAATTGTGAATTTCCTGACGGAGTAATGGGGCATTCGATTGAGGAGTGCAAGGTATTCCAAGAAAAATTTCAAGAAATGATATATGATGAAGTGCCGACCTTCAAAGGAGGAAACCCATTTGTGAATGGAACACCATTATGCTAATGGATATTTGAGACTTAAGAAAATCATTTGCGAGCCGTTAAGGGAAGGGCTCATCAGATTGTTTGTTCTGTTTGCTTATATGTACTTTTTATTTCTTTGATTATAACAAAGTATTTTACCAATCAATCCAAAACCCCCAGGGCTTTTGTTTAACTGAAATTTTTCCAAAACTCTGTATCGTCAAACAGTTTTTGAGATCGATACTGAGGATTTCCCTTTTTTATTACTATATTGACAGATTATTACACTTGCTAATTTACCAATCATCTATGATCCTACTCGTACTGAATGTTGATGATGATGATTGATTTGTTGATCGTTGCACGATGGATCGAGTTTGGTCAAATCTAAAATAAAAATGTTAATCAATTTTTTCCACAATATATGTTTTCTCCATGTAGAAAATAGTTTCTGCAACATCCATTAGACACTAAATAAGTCTATATTGATTAATCACATAATGAAGTATAATTCCATTCATATTTAGCCTATCCATTCCATTACTTAGCAATGCAATTATTATTTAATTTACTAAATTAATAATGAAATTTTTTTAGTTTTTATTAAGGTTCGAACTCATGATCTTCAATAAAAAATAAATATTAATAATAAATTTTTAAATTTTTTATTAAGAGTTGAATTCGTAGAGAATAAATATTATATTTCGTTTATTTAAAGAACTATGAAATGAATATTATATTTGGTTTATATTTGTCTATTTAAAAACTAAAACTATGAAATGATGTAACCTAAATGTATTAACATCTCTTGTGCACCGTTTTAAATTTAATATAAAAGAGACAAAATTAGAATTTCCCAAAATTAATAATGATTAATTCAATAAAGTATCTTTCTAAGTCATTGGAAGAGTAAAGTGGAGGGAGAGAGAAAAACCAGAAAAAAAGTGGAGGGAGAGGGTTTTCGTTTAACAGTTGAACTGAGCCACTCCTACTCCACTGCGGTGGCTATGCAATCCGTTCCTCTCCATCACAGTTCCGATCTCTGCTTCACATCATAGGTACTCTCTCTCCCTCTCCGTCTCGCCTTTCAATTCCTATCATCTAGGTCACGCTCACGCTCAATCTTTGCTCATTTCATTCCCAATTTTATTCTATGCTGCTTCAAATCTTCATTTACCATTATTACTGCTGCTTCTGATCCCAACTTCAGCATATCGCTTTTTAATCTTCATTTTGAATAATTTTTTATTGTTAAATACAAATGGAAAATTGCACTTTCAATTCGTTGTAGATGATTATGAGTTCACAAATTTGTAGCTGAATGTGTTGCTGATATTGTCTTGGAGTTACAAGGAGACAAATTTAATACAAGAGTCTTCTCTCAAACAACAAAAAAAACCTGGGTATGTATGGATGGGGGATTTTGAAGGGTTTTAAAAGGGATAAGTTATATTTTGGTATATATTTGAGATTTTTTTTTTAAAAATTGAAAGAATATCTTCATAGATGATTATATAAACATTTCAATGTACGGACATTTATTTCTCTGCTATTAAACACGTTGGTTCCGACTGTTATCTCGACACGAACAGTAAAACCAAGAAAACCGCATCAGACCACAGATGTGTGTGACTCGGCTGGAACGACCGCAATAATGGGATTGGATTTAGAACAATGCCGCTCTGACACGTCCGCCCTGGCTGTGTCAACCATATTTGATATTATTACCCTCAAATTTTTAAGGATATAAATGTTATTTTATAGAATTTTATTAGCATTTGCACGTCTGTTTTGCTTAAGACTTATGACTACTTTTATTTTAATTTTTAATTTTTAATTTTATTTGATGCACATGACTACTTTTATTTCTAAATATGAATGTTTCATAAATTTTGATTAATTTGTTTTAGTTTTTAACAATTATGTGTTAATTGTATTATCAGTATTAGTGTCCGTGTCACTAAAGTATCGGCTGTTCCGCTCCTCGCTCCTCATCCGTTCCATTTTTGGAGATGGCCATGCTGCTATCTGTGATTGATAACATAGATTTCTTTTTAGCAATACTTTAAAGCTTCCTTAATATAGAAAAGAAAAATAAGCCTCCCCTCACCTTTTTAAAATCCTCCATCCAAACGAATCATTAGAAATGATGCTCGGTGCTTCACAAGATTTGAAACATTTTCTTATGATGAAGGAACGTAAGAACTTTATTAAGCTCTATTTATGAGTTAGGAAAGGAGAAGAAGAGAAGGCTTCAGAAAAAGGAAATTGAAGAAAATATAGAGAAATATTTAACATTTTTTAAAAGACTTATTTTGTATAGAAAGATAAATGAATGTTTATCATTAACATATTTTTAATTTTGGGAATATTATAACAAAATAAGTTATATTTGAACAATTTATCTAAGTCCTCCAAACCCCTCCTTCAATACAATTTTTTAGTTCCCCTAAACTAGGGGAATTTTGTATTATGAATAAAAATAAACCTCCCAAAACCCTCCCTACCTAAATCCCTCAATTCTTTTCACCAATCCTTCCTTTTTTCAAAGCCTTCCTACCCCTCCAAACTCCCAAACAAAGCCTTATCAAAGTACTGTAACTGTCTGTGTTCATAAAGTACTATTACTGCTGGTAATGGCCTATATTTCAAGATACAAATGTTTTATTATGATCTTCTACATAGGGAGTACATGTTCTTTAGTATTGCACTTCTTTAGTTATAAAATCAAAGTATTTTAGTATATATGTTCGTGATTATAACAAAATAGTTTGTTATTTGGAGATTGACTCTATTCTTTGCACCAGTCTTTTATCGCATGTGCGAAAGTTGCTTGATAGGAGAATGACTGCAAAGTTTGATTCAATGCTTGCTTCTGAACCTCACAAGATGTCCGGAGCTACATCTACAACACCTACTAGTGGTGGCCAAAAGCTCTCTATGTTTGCTGCCAAATCTGGATTTGTCATCCCCAAAAACAAGTTATTAGGATCGTTAGTTCCCGTTTTCCGAGGGGCTAAAAAAGATGGGGTCACTGGAGTCATCAATGAAGAAAGTTCAAAACAAATTGAGAGGAAATCAAGATGGGGGCCTGATCCAACACAGGATGTATCTGTCAGGAGGGCAAAGGTTTTAGCGTTGCAGGTGATTCCTAGAATGCTTTACAATAATTCTCCATTATCATTTTTACTGTTATATATCCTTTTGTTTTCTTATTCTATTATCATTTCCTTGAAAATATTCAGTGATAAGGTTAAGATTTTTAGTTCTTCGCAAGTTTTGATTGACATGTTCATATGTTACTACCCTTTATCCCTTTTCTTGTGAGATTTGCTCATTGCCTTTGGATGCAAGGTTAATCTTTGCTCATGATAACCCTTCCTGCTGGTGTTTTCCTACTTTGCTTAAGCCCCTAATATTTAATATTGGAGAAATTGTAAATATTTTACTTGTATCAAAATCATGGGATTGGAATTAGTAAAGTAGCATTTTTGCAAGACTTTGGGTTGCAATGTGTCATTCTTAGCTAAAAGGTGTAAACATTGTTATAAGATGTGTGCTATTGCAAATGCATCTGTGTTCTAATTTCCAAGTTGTCAATAAGTGATGCTACTGTTGCACATCCTTTGTAGATTCGAGTGGAACAAATTTCAAAGCAGTTGGAATCAGAAAATTTAGAGATTGGAGCTACTCAGAACTTACCATTGGTGGATGAGAACCCAAATGAAAGCAAGTCTGGCTCTCAAATTAATAGCAAGGTTAACAACAATTGACACTTTTCCTTTTAATTGTAATTTGTAATTATTGCTTGTCATTTTTTAGATGTAGTAGTAACTATTTATGAATAAGCTAGTGATGTTTTTTTATGGTCATAAGAAGTCAGAAATGCTTGAACTCGAAAAGCGGGAAACAATAGGTATGTTTTCCTTAAAGTATATGTTTCCTTTTTTATTCCTCCCCTTTAATGCTTATAGGCTTCCTATTCCATAATAATCTTGATATTAATCATATCCAGGTGAAATACTAAAATTAGATCCCAGTTACAAGCCTCCGCCTGGTTTTAAACCGCTGTTAAAAGAACACAGTGTTCCTTTGCCTGTAAGTATTGGTTCTAAAATTCTGCAGGCCCAATTCTGTGCTATTTAAATTTGTTGTCAACTTGTTACTTTCTTTAGTTTTGAAAAGTAAAGGATACACTTTGATTTCCTTAATTTAGAGTCCAACTTCAGTTTTTGTTCATCTAGTATGTTTTGTACAATTTTTTTCCAGTTATTGGTGAGTAATAATATGTTTAGCGTTTTTACGGCTTGTTAAGTCCATGTCCCATTATTTAGAGTATGGCCGAGGTTATGTAGGCCTTATAGTATTTCTTTTGTGAGATGATAAAGCAGTTTTTAGGAGATTAGCATAAATATAATTTTAAGCAGTGAGGCCTTCTATTATTTTTTCACGGGTTAAAATTGAACACGGAATTTGATCTTAACATGTTAATGAGTGTTAATTAACTTCCCCAAAACATGTAGCTCATTTCCAGAACTTTTCTTTTCCAGAAGTGTTTTTCTCATCCATTTTCCTTGTCTGCTTTCGTGAAGGAACGTGTTGTTGGAGGTCCTCATATTCTTGAAAGAAACTTGAACGCTAAGTTGTAATATAAGATGTATCAATTGATTGAACTTCGCAATCGAGTCACACTAAAACCCATCCTAGATTACAATTACAATATTCAAGTAGTATACTGATTGCTTTGCAGAGTAAGAATGCAAAATGACTTGATCTCTTTTGCTTTTAATATCTTAATGCTAAACTTTGGCTTGCCTTTGTTGTATAGTTTTATGAATGATCTGTTATAGTTTTCAAAAAATCAAATATCTCTATCTAAGCCTGAAGTTCTACAATGAAAACTCTTATATGCAGTACCATATTTACAGGTCCAAGAATATCCAGGGTACAAATTTATTGGTCTAATATATGGGCCTGAAGGTGATAATCAAAAGCGACTGGAGAAGGTAAAACCATTTAGTTGGTACCTAATCTTAATTCGATGATCTGCAGTCAGCAATCTCTATCTTTTTATTGAGACCACTGAATGAAATTATGATTTTTCTATCAATTGATATTTAATATACGTGTTTATCAGGAAACTGGTACCAAGATAAAAATTCGTGGAACCAAAGCAGACACAGGAGAGAAAGTAAGTTCCTTAATAATGTTATGTGGCTTTTATTCTGCATCACCCACTTTGCAATACGTTGACTTGATTTTGTCAGGAAATAACTGTATTTGTCTGCTTTGTATGTTCTATTTTCAGGGTGAAATTAAACCAGGTACTGATGTCCATTGCAGTTACGAAGAGATGCATGTTAACATATCAGCTGATAGTTTTGATAAAGTGGATGCAGCAATTTCCATCATTGAACTACTAATTTCCTCTGTAACTGTGAGTTGTCATTTCATGCAACGTAACAACATTTTATGGTTTATGGTTAGCTCATTTATGCCGTAACACTTTATTTATAAAAAAAACTTATATAATATTCTTCTCTTCTATTCAGGGGAATTCAGCTGCTGGTTCCACACCCTCCATATCTGTCTCTGGGGACAGCACTAATGGTCTGAATCAAAACCAAGACGGCCCCCCATCTCATGCAATTTCTCTATCTCTGGAAAATCCGACTGTGTTTCAACCAGCAGCCACTACACAAATGCAAGGAGATCACTATCAATACTCTGGTTCATGGTTTTCAGCTGCTCCATCTCACACCCCTTTATCTGCTTCTTCTGGCAGTGTAGTCCCTCCAAATCCCCCATACCTTGCTAGAACTCCTCATTTTCCATCACAGACAATGAGCCCTTCAAATATGATTTCAGCTTTTGGTGCTCAACCTACACCTATTGCTGGATTCCACCAGATTATTCCAAATCAGCAGTTTTCTATGCAAACACCACCACCAACACAAATCTTACAACATTCACAATGGACTCAAACAACTCCTTTTGGCCACGTTGGGCTACCAAGAAATCCTTCTGTAATACCTGCACAGAATTTGTCAGCACCAACAAGTGCTTCACTTTCATTTCCAGTTCCCTTAAGGCATCCAATGCCAACAGGACACCTTCAGACATCAATGTCTTCAATGCCTCAACCTATGTCTGGTATATCACCGTCACCGATAGGTAATCAGCCATCAACCCCTCACGGTGTATCTGCTGGACTGAGTGGAGGACCAATGGCTCCACCGGCAGTTCCCCCTGCAAGACCTGTTTCTCTAGGTCCACAATCAGATGTTGAATATAAGCCACCCCAGTCAAATGTGTCCATGATGCCACGACCTGGCAGTATTCATCCACATCACGCAGGAATGTCACCGAGACCACCATCATCTTTGGGACCAATACCAGGAACTGTTCATTCAACTGGAAACCATTTATCAAGACCCATTTCATTTCCGTCGCCAGGAATATCCCCTTCACTTCCATTAGCTCAACAATCAGGAATACCTAATTCTGCTTCTCATTACACCCACATAAACCCACTGGCCTCCACACCTTCAAATTCTGGAAATTTTACTTTTCAAGGACAGCGACCCAATGCAGACTACTATCAAGTGGTTCCCAGACCTAACAGTCAAGCTACTACTCAGGGTGGTACACAAGAGCCACCTTCTGGTCCCCGGCCTCCACCATTTGGGTTTGCTATGCCTGATCAGCCTTTTCAAAGCTTTCCAAGGCTACAAGTCTCCAACCGAATGGATCAAACTCAAGCTTATGCCTCTGCTGCTCCTTTTGGTGGAAGGTCGGGCTCTGTCTCAATTCCACCCCAACACCCTGTATTTCCCTATGCCGGTCAACCTTCACCAAGATCTCAAGTCCCACAAATGGGTATGAGGAACTTCATTCCTACCTCTCAAAGGCCAAACTTGCCCAGTCTTGGGGTCCAAAGAGGTATGCCTAATCAACAAAGCTATCCTGCTCAAGGAACATGGCTTCTGAATCAGAAGTTTGGCAACAATCCTTCCTTGGCATCCAGTAAGCCATCATATCACGCAGACCAAATTTATGATCCCTTTTCACCCACATCTGTTGCATCTCCACACCAGAAAGGTAATCTCGGAAAATGAGGGAGTTGGACATTGGCTACAGATATGAAATACTCACAGTAAAAGTCTCAGTTATGGCTGCAGTTTTTGGCAGATGGAGGCCATCCAAATTTCATAGATTAGTACGAGTACAGTTGTAATTTGCAGAATCATGTTGTTTCTAACAAGAAGGTTATTTTAGCTCCGATTGATGACTTGTTGTATTCCTTTTTAAGTCGACCTTATTTATGCCCATTATTGATGCTCGATTAGAAATTGAGTTTTATGAAACTTTGCCAGAATATAGTCATTTTCCCATCTTATGTTGAATTTTGTTCACATCAGTTATGTTGAATTCAAGCTCTATTTGATCAGTGCTTGTGCTTACATATCTGTTACGCCACACACATTTGGCTAACCTTATTTAACTTGTCATTTTATGAAGAAAGCAACAATCATAAACAACTATGTCAAAACAAAATCATTATAACAACTATGATAGCATCTTATTTGGTCCATTGCTTAGCACGCCTAAGACTAAACCCACACTTTACCAACTCTTGTATCACGATAAGGGCTGTTTACGTTATTAATTTGGAAAATCTTGTACTAACAGGTCATGGAAGACGTGCAATTTTGTTTAATAAAGAAAAGAGCTATTTTGAGAACTCTCATTATTCTCTCCTTGCCGATACGTAGTAAAGCTGGTTTGCATTTTTTTCTTCATAAACGTTAAGAAAATTTTCTTGAAAAATCTCATGAGTATTTTTTTTTGGATTAATTGCTGTAAGGGTTTGATGATTTAGTCCTTTTTTTTTTTTATTTTTTTTTTATTTTTTTTTTTTATCAATTTAGTCACTTCATCAAAATATTTTCGTAGATGTAACAAAAAAGAATCAAAATATTTTCGTAGCAATTATTTACCCAAATCATTAAAATATTTAGATATTGTCTTGTATAATCTCATTCTACATCAAAAAAAAAAAAAAATAACACTTTAAATTTGTGGTGCTAAACTTTTTAAAAATGATTAAATTGATTGACGGTCTTTAAATTCAATGAACAACCCCGTTTCTCGTTACCCGCATAGTGGGGGTTATTCTTTGCAATTTTGTGCAATTTTTATATATACTTTATTATTTTACTGTTTTATTTTTAAAAATAGATTCTAGTAGTTATATATAGACATCAAATTGCAAATTCGGTGACATTTTATTCAAGTTATTAAAAACTCAAACACATAAATGGAGTATCATTTTTGATCAAACGGATTAAAGTGAATCTTAATTGAGAAAATCTCATAATATAATATTTCTATAATATCGTGCTGGTTTCAAGAAACTTCTAACTTCAGTTATTTTTTTTTTATCTTTCTGAATTAACTACATATTCTATTTTGAATAGGTAAACTTTTATTTATCCTTGAGTGATTACACGAGTAAGGAATTTTATTTCTATTATCAAGAGCTCACATTTGTTAAAATTGGCATATAATTTCTTTTCTTGTAGAATTTGCAACACTATTGCAAATGTTCTTTGTGTTCATGAGGAGTATCATAATAAATCAGGATGTTATCAATGAAAATCACAACAAACTTGTCAATATAAGGTTGAAATATGCCGTTCCTATAATTTGTGGCAACACATACTTGTTTTTTATAATTACTTTGTTGAGTTATCCATAATCAATGCATAATCACATACAACCATCTTTCTTCTTAGTTAAATGCACAATTTCATCCCAAAGAAGATACAATAGGTCTGATAAAATATTTTTAACGAGGTCCTCCAACTAAGTTTTGAGTTCTCTTACTTCTAAGGTGTGATGAAGATTGGTCTTATCTAAGGAAACAATTCTATAAAAAGCTCTATTGCTATCATGCTTACTTCTGTCTTGGTTATTGAATTCTTTGTAAGCATTACGAGGAAACACAATTCTTTAACAAATAAACACTAAATCATTTGGTGATAATTGTCCAATAATGTTGAAAGGAACTACTCCTTAGTTAAATTCTTGGGAAGCATGAAGGCAGGCGTTGGATCAAATGCCTAATTCTATGGGTTTAATATCTTATATCAGAATTGATAGATAATAGAAAACAGAATGATAAAGAACACAAGAGAATTGTTAACTCAATCCATTGAAACAACACTTATATCTTGGGGGCTTACAACCCAAGAAAGAAAATTCACCCCTTATTCAATGTCCATCTTTTTAATATTATTCGTGTCTTTCTATTTATGACTCCTCTTAAATATGAGACCCCTCTCACTTTCTCTCAATTGCTAACCCTGATATTCAATACAATAAACAATTTAAGGATTGTGAATTACAACTTAACTAATAATCGACTTTTATGCATTGAATATTTAGTTTAGGCTTCTTATAGAGGTATACAAAAACAACAAATTACAAAGACTCAAAGAGATAAACCCTAGAACACTAGATCTTTAATATATGCACACTTTTCAATGTTAGGTGAATCTCCATAAATAACAATGCCAACTTCTGGGATTTTCTCCCATGGAAATATGATTTGAGATCATGTCCATATTTGCAGAGGATTCAATTAAGATTCGTTTTTCAAAAAACTCCACCAAAAAGGTTTGATTTGAATTAAATTTAAATATCCAATTAATTAGATTTGATTTTATTCAACATGTCAAACAAATCTAATTAACACATTGTCAAAAGATAGCAACAAATCTGATTGAAGCATTTTGCTCAGAACAACAACCATGACCTGCTAACAAAGATCAGATGTTGCACACATGCTGAAACATTTGGCCTAACATCTGTCCACAAAACCAATGTTTTAAAAACCGGACCGGACCGGTCGGTCGGACCGGGAACCGGCCTAGTAACCGACCTGGTTTATTAGTTCGATCGTCTGTGTCATCAAACCGGTAAAAACCGGGTTGGGCCGGAAAAAACCGAGTTTAGAGTTGGACCGGTTCTAATGCATTTTTTATTTTTTAATTAAAATTTAAATGCAAAAATTAAAAAAATTAAAAAAAAAATTGTTTAAAATTAGATTATGTTGCAATTATTTTGTAATTTTGTATTATTTTGTTATGTGTGATACATTTGTTTAAAATTTGAATTTAAATTATGAACTTGTGAATTTATGATATGATATTTTTAAAAAATTTAAGTACTAGTTATATTTTTTTAGAAACTGAATCATCCGGTTCGACCGGTTTTATATCTATATAATGACAGGTCTATTCAACCGAGTTATCCGGTTTAATTCGGTTTAGTCATGCGGTTCGACCAGTGACCCAATGGTTCGATCGATAAACCAGTGACCCAATTCCCTCACCGGTTCGATGACCGGTCCGGTTTTTAAAACACTGCACAAAACAACATTCTGAATATTGAACAAATCAAATAAAATATTTACTTAATATACATCACAATTCCAATTTTTCAAGTAAAACTCTTGCCAAAACTGAATCATACTTTAAATCATCTTTAAAAGATTGGAGATTTTCTTTATCAAGTGCAAATACAAATCTTGTAATTAAAACACATCCAATAAAATATATTTATTGAATATTTGTTTAATTAAAACTTCAATCAATATTTTTGTATATCAATTTCAGCAAATCTTGAAATAAATAAAACTGAATCAAATCTTCATATCCAATAATTTTTTTTTCCCAGTGTAAATTCAATAAAATCAAATATCCTTATTTAAACCAAATCCAAATATTTTTCCCAACTGATTTGGATTAACTAAATTCTTCCAAAAGTAATCTTCTGATCGTACAAGAACGAATGCAGAATCATATGATGTAGTATGTGCAGAATGCGCGCCCATATGTCACACAAAGGTGCTAGGAATACACACACTAGAGAAGAAAAGAAAAATGACATTCTTATAAAAGTTTTATCTATCTTTCATTATGGAAAAATTTCATAATAATAGATTCGAGTGGAAATTTGGATAGAAAGACAACTATTTAAATCTAAGGTGGATATTCAGAAATTTGAAGTCATGATTCGAATCAGTGCTCTACTTAAGTCAAGTGCAAACCATGATTCGAGTCAAACTGTGCTATGATTTGAGTGAAGTGTATTTCATGATTTGAATCAAATCTGGCAGATCTAAAATCTAACTTTCAAAGAAAGTTGTGATTCTAGTCAAGTTTAACTTGTAATTCAAATTAAATCACGCAAAGCCAAATTCCAACTTTATTAAATTGTATGATTCAAATAAATCAATTCAACACATTGATTCAAGTATTATAACTTATGATTCAAGCAACACTTGATGAAATAACAAAAACCAACTTGCAAGGCTAAAAAAAGACATGCATAATCATGGACCAACATTCTAATTATTTGAGTAATAAGGGGATTATGACACAAATCTAAATAACTGAAACAAACATAATACAATTCAAATGCAAAGGAATTACAAACACGTGAATAATCAAATAATGTACAAACTACAAATACGTGAATAATCAATAACACATACATGTAAATTGACAAAAACATCAAAGCTAAAAGACGATACTAGACGATATCATGACTGCAATTTTAAATCTGATCATAAAAATTCTAAAAGATACTAGATACAATTTCAAAGAAGAAGAGTTTAAAGAAAAAACAACTAAAATAGGAAAAACAGTCATATCATCAATGAAATTTGATATCAACAATGGAAAAATAACTAAAAATCCCTCCTCAAGTGAGAAGAAAAGAAAAACAAACAGTCAAGAAATACCCATAGAGATAGACGATTTTGATTACTCTATTCCCCAATCTTATCAACTACCTTCAATCAAAGACCTACTTAAAGTCATAATTGGGAAGATGGATGTGATCAATAACAAGTTGGACTTCACAACTCGACATATCATTCCAGACAAAACACAACTACCACGAGACTTGTTCTTCGATGGTGATTTTGATAAATAATAATCCCATCTAGATATCTAAGTGTGTTTAATTTCATGTTATTTCCTACTTTCCGTACTATTTCAATTCCATAATTTCCATTTTGTAATTTTGAATTCTTAGAAATTTTAAT